TTATGTAAACGGCCACAGTCATGAAAATGATGTGCATCTTGTGTCACTATTCGTATTTGAAGGATTGTCCTCTTAATATCGTTTGAGACGTTCATTATGGAATGTGACAAAATATATCGTGATCGTATTACTCATAAATGCTTTAAGGACTTATGCAAATCTTAAAATTGTCTTCGTTGTTCTTATTTTACAAGTGATCGATTTAAATTCAATGTGAATTTAAAATATTTCGTAATTCCACCATTGCTCTATAAAGCAAAATAAATAATTATTTCAATTTTTATATTCATTATTATGGTTTTCATTTATATGTTTTTCTTATTTATTATAATATGAATTACGTATTGCATTATGCATATTTCATTGTTGATCAACCTGAATAAATAAACAGCCTATCTTTATGAGCTGTATAATTATCGAAACAATAGTTTTATTTTTTTTTTGTAATAAAATATAGTTGCCGTGTAGTAATTATTGGAAATTAAATAAGTCATTACAGGAATATTAGAACTTTGTTCCCTACGCAAAATGTGTAAATCATAAACAAATAACGCAATATTATCGATGTAATGAGTTAATCATTATTATCATTTTAAGTTTATTGTAAGTAGAAATGCCTATACTAAAACCGACGCGTGTACTGAGCACTTATTGGCAGCTAAATTGACCTTTGATCTTTTAAAGAGTATTACTGTATATTCTGATATAAATTATGATTATTGATATTTATTAACGATAACTAACTACGTCACTATCATAAAGTTGTTGAACTTACTATTCATAAAAGATGAGTTATTTGTTTTTATATTAACCACAAGAAGAGATCATCCTAGGTCTATAGTTCTTGCTTTATTCAGTATTTTTTTTTTGTTTTTCAATAATAAATTTCTTTTTTCTACGCTTAAATTATAACAAACATTAATGTTTTGTTAGTAATGTCGTCAAGTCTTCTAGTGCAGTGATCGCAGCGTGAAATACCACGAAGGTCTTACATAATGTCTATAATAGTATCAAAAACAAAAAAATTATTTATAAAAGCATAATGATCATCCATAAAGCGGACGATGAGAGTTTTTAATGGAATTTCAATGTTTCATTTTATCTGATGCTTATTCGACCCATTGTTGTCTTTCGTGGAGTCACCTCAACACATACACTCCATACTACGTGTTATGTTCTATCTAAGATAGATGAGTCTGCGGGTGGGCGAAAAACTGTACTAACACCAAGTGCTGTTGACTCCCACAACGTTTGATTGTGATAATATTATTGAAAACACACTTCGAGTGAATTTTCTTTATTTGATCGATCGTCAAGTTCGAGTTATTTATCATTTATCGTTGTTCATTATTACCCGGTGGTACTCGCGTATCTTGGATCAAATATTGTAAATACAATCGGACATAATGTATCGGAATCGTTTTTCTTCTCAAACTTAGTCTGAGGTCAAATGGAACTTTTCTTGGCATGACATGCGGCGACGGTATTTTGATCTTTTGACACAATATCGTAAACTACAACAAGCTGACCTTATGCAGTACTGCTACATTTAAGAAACCGTGTCAATTAAATTATAGTTATTACAGTACTGCCTACTCTTAAAATTTACTGAAATTCTGGAACATGGATTTACGTTTGTAATAATATGCTTAAGGGACGATGAGACTATTGAGTTATGTTCGTGAAGAGACGAGAAAATTATACGTAACAAACAATGTCGGACGGCTATTGTTTCAAATCGTGTGGTTGTCTCCATGATAATAATATTTTGTGCGTGGGCAATTAAAAACTAAGAAAAAAACATGGAGAAATATTGTCATATCCTGGCTGATGTTGGCACGTACCAATTAATTCCAGATGTTCGTTGTGTTATATGAGTTGCATGCTCTTTTCTCTATACCAAGTGGTCTATAAAAACGCACGCGTTACAATACAGGTGAACAATACGTTTGAATGATCAGAAGAAGTTTATGGCTCCTGTCAGACCAGGAATATTATTTCCATCAGACTAAATACATTTTTTTTCTGCTGTTTTTATATCGTCATTATTCTCAGGTAAAGTCCAATAACACGGTATGACATGTCTCAGATGTTGTCAGATATATCTTATTCATAAAAAAGGATTAGAATATGGACTTCATACATTTTTTTAAGTGAATACTAATTTTAGGGTTGGTTTTTACTGGTTATTATAATTTTATTGATTAAAATGAAGGGTTGNATGGATATTATTATTTTATTGATTAAAATGAAGGGTTGGTTAGTTATTTTTTTGAAAATAACAACTCGAGAAACTTATTAGAAATTATTTGTTACTATCAACACATCTGTTGTTCAATGAATTTTTTTCCGTAGCTACTTGCATTTACTAAATAGGTATTGGTATTTTTATTATATTGTTCTCGTTAAAATATGGCATCTAGACTTGAGCGTTTAACACGAGTGAAATCTAGATTGTTCTTAGACTCATTTCTCATAACGAGCAAACCTGTCAACTAGAGGTCAACAAAACAATGATGTATTGGGTCTGGCGCAGTAAACGTCAAAATTATAAAATTGTTAATACTGGAAAATTCAACTACCGATGTTGTTTACAACACAAAGAGTGGGATGCTATGAAAAACAAAAATTATACGCCCTCTGTCAGGTAATCCGAATTTTTTTTGGCAACCGGTTCAAATGAAAATAAAAAGTACAAATACCCACTGGCTAGTAATATTGAATTTCACTACACCAGACAACAGCAGCTGCTGTCGAAGAGAAATATTCATAGCACTCCTATATAATTTTATGCTAAAATTTACAGATGACATTTTGCATCTAATTTTCCGGGAAACCACCAATTAAAATAAATCATTTTTTGTCACCTATATAATTATGATAATTAATCCATCATCTCATTGTCGCTACTACTGTTGTTATTTATAAATAGCAATTAAATATTTTTATACAGTAAAACTAAGATGTACGCTCCAGAGAATTATGACTCGTGTGTTTTAAGTTTCCAATAAACTTAATACACTTTGAATTATTCAGTTACATGATTAATTAAATACAAATGTTCATTAAATTAACGGCTGTTTCAAATAAACAGTAAAAATTATAACTTACGACTGTATGAAATCGACGTTATTTTGTCATATTACTTAATAATTTTAAATCGGATCATTCAAATTATAAATTAAAAAAAAAGTTTAACTATTGTAATTTATTACTGGTTTTCGAAAATTGTCTTTTCTCTATAAATTGTATTGCATCTTAGCGAGCTTTATAAAATTTAAATTTCAATACTATTAGAATTATTTAATAAGAAAAAATTAACAATAAATCAAAAGATGTACTGTAGAAACGTTTCTTATTAGTCAAAAGTGAATTCAACGCCAATTTGTACAACTGTTATTAAAACCTTACCGTAGTAGTTTAAAGAGATCTCTTTCCGGAACATGTAACAAACGTTATTTTTATGTATATAATTTTATAGCTGCTGTTGTATCTACTTAAAATAATTGTGTACTATCGTCAATCCATTCACTTGTATGATAAAGTCAAGAATAATCCGCGGACGACGCACCTTTTTTGTGAAGTACTAGGAACGTATAAAATACAGTACTCACGTAGGCTGCTGGAAAAAATACAAATATTTTTGTTGATTTGCTCATACGAAATCTTGCAACATATTAGGCGTTGGTCATATAGGTGCAAACTGCATTATTAAATTTGACCTTTTATAATGAAAGCTGTGTTGCTTACTAGTAATGATTTTTGTTTAATTTTTGATAAAGATTTTTCAAGATTCCAGGAGTTGACATTAGCGAGTAATGGGATTTGTACACATTAAGTGTGCGATAATTTAATTAGATTAATTGTTCCATCCTAAAGCAATACATATTTGTAATTACCATGTATTATTAATTATGTTTAACATTATGAACTTATGTTACAAATTACCTTAACAAACCTGTCTTAAAAGGGCATTTTGTATATCGAGGAAACTTTATTTTTAGACTCCCTTTCATTAGTAAATAAATAAAAATGTTTTTGATGCTTAAAAAAGCATTTCCGTTTGTAATAACACAGGACACACTGTTACTACTCTCAAATAATAGGGTTGATCAGCTTCAAGTGCAAAAGGCATGTGTAAACCAAATGTAATATGTATAATCAGTTAAGTTTTTCTCTACTAATCTGTTTTAAAAAATAATGAAAAGCCAAGTTCTATAGCGGCTGTTTGTTTTCCTCCACCTGGATTATTTTTTATTTCCGTGGTTAGGGGCTGCAGATGGTTTAAATCCGACCAGCATCGACGCCTACGTATACATTTTACTAGGTCCCATTTCGAATTCATTAGGAATCGACGCGACGGTAAAATTTTTCATCCTATGTGGCAATTATCGGGGCGGTTAAGCTGTTTATTGTTGGCTCATCTGGAACGATAAAAGAAAATTATTGTTTCTCATTTATAGGCGTATTCGATTATGTTAAATTACATTTAATACGCATCCAACATATGGTGACTTTTCGTTGATGTTTCTACCACCACGTGATTTCTTTACACCACAGCGATAAATGCTGAGTATGTACCATTATTATTTGTCGATAAATCTATAAAAAAATGAATACATGTTTATGTAAACCAGTTTGCTTGGTGTGATTTCTTTCTGTTTGCACCTACGCGATGGCGCCTAGCTGGTCAACCCGTAATTGTCGGCGCCGTTTGGAATTTCTTTAATTACTTGTCTGAGGCAAAATTCGGGTGTATTATTTTGGAAGTTTCAGACGTATTTTTTCGTGAAAAATTTATTGCCGTTGTCGTGAGAGTTGTTAGTTTGAAAGGAAAAAGTACAACATAAGTTAAACGCACATATGTTGACGGCTTTATTCGTCCTTGCCGTATATTCTTTCATTTCATCAAACCATTTTGCTTGTAAAAATATTTTAAATAACACACTTAATATAAAGCAGCAGACGAGGTCATGAGTATATATTTTTTTTATCAACAGAGATAACTTATACCGCCTGGACCTGGACGGTTTAAAGAAAATTGAAGCGACTCGATGGCCGGCTACAGAAGATAAGGTACAACTTTGTTTGATAAAAGGCCAAAGCGTAGATGATTGTCGTAATTACGTTAAGGTGCTTTTGGCAACTGGTAAAAAGTTGTTCGTATGTGGTACTGGAGCTTTTTCACCCCAATGCACGTGGCGAGAGGTAATTCATAGCACAATATGCAAATAAATACAACCTATTACTTGAAAATTTATATTTTATTTATTTATAAAATTAAAATATTTCTCTTGTAGATGGAAAATGCTACTAATATCATTGAAGCAGTTCGAGGTGTAGGTAAATGCCCGTACAGTCCCTTATCAAATATTACAGCGATGATAACTCTAAACGGTCAATACTTTGCCGGTAGTCCAATGGACTTTTCAGGCGCGGACTCAGCTATAGTACGAGATTTGGGTGCTACATATTTGCGCACCAAAAACTATGACTCCAAGTGGCTGAATGAACCGCAATTTGTCGGATCATTCGAGACGGACGCCTACGTTTACTTTTTGTTCAGAGAGAGTGCTGTGGAGTACATTAACTGTGGTAAAGTACGTAATTCCTTAGCAATATTTTTTACTTTATTTTTGTATGCAAAGTTGAAACAACCGCTCGCGTAGGTATCGTTGTCACTATTGAAACATATGGTCGTACATAATTGACAAGTCAAAGACTGTATAGTGTAAGGTAATTGTATTTTATCAATAATGAATCTCTTTAAACCATATGGTTTCTTTATTTAAAATATAAAATAAAGGAAGCTTCGATTATATTACGCGATATTATTAAAACGATTTTTTTCAAATTAATTAACTAATCAATTAATGTAATGTTAAGATTAAACGATAACGATAAACGAATATGTTATTTGGGATAGCTCTATACTGTAATAAATATCTGTGCTAGTGACAATTGTACTTACGATTTATTTATTTTTTTTTATTAAGATTTTAAATGTAAACAATTAGTTATGGTACATTTCTTTGTTAATTTAGAGGGTTTATTCGAGAATAGCAAGAGTATGTAAGAATGATGTAGGAGGACAAACTATGATGCGTGATAATTGGACGACATTTGTGAAAGCTCGTCTGAATTGTTCCCTTCCCGGCGAATATCCTTTTTATTTTGACGAAATTCAGGGTATGACTTACCTACCGGATGAAGGATTAGTGTATGCTACGTTTACAACACCAAGGTAATTACATATTTAAAAAATGTGCTCTACAATCATCAGAGAACTAATGTTACGATTAAATTGTTTAATGTAGTAATGGAATTGCCGGCTCAGCAGTGTGCAGTTTTAGTTTAACTGCTATTAATGCCGCCTTTAATGGTCCATTTAAACACCAAGCGACAGTCGATTCAGAATGGGCTCGGTATACTCCTCCAAACCACCAACCTAATCATGGTCAATGTCAAAGACAAGACCCTAATCAAATACTCGATTCTTCTAGGTAATTAAAAATTATAATTTTAAATATGGTTTAAAAAATTAACAATGACAGACAAACTGTAATACTTTTGATTTTATTACTTATAGTATTTATGTATTATTAAAGGTATCAATTAATGGATAATGCAGTTCAACCTACAACATTAGAACCATTATATTATAAACCATTGGAAATTTTAACACAAATTGCTGTAGACGTTGTGGCAACTAAACCACATGGCACATTAAAAGTTTTATACTTAGCAACTTCATCAGGGACAATAAAAAAAATTACTATTTTACCCAAAACGTCTGTAACGTGTACTTTAGAAGAATGGAATCTATTTCCCGAAGGTTTTGGTTCTCAAATAATGGCCTTGCATTTTATAAAAGTCACTGTACGTTTGTTTTCACCTTTGATAAATAATAAAAAAAAATTATTATGACTATTCGTATTATTATTATATGATTCAATGAACTTTTTCTGTATAGGAATCCATATATGTCGGAACTAAAGATCGAGTTCTTAAGATACCAGCTCAACATTGTGGAAGACACAGAAGCAAGGAAGCGTGTATGAACGCAATGGATCCCTATTGTGGATGGAATGAACACGTTGATAAATGCCAACCTCCTACAAATGGTAATATACTGGAACATAGTTGGAGGCAAGACGTTACTAAGTGTCCAGATCGTTCAAGACCTGTAGATGGAGGGTGGTCTAGTTGGTCAGCTTGGTCACAATGCATACAAAATATCAACGGCAAAGACTCTGCAGACCAATGTTTATGTTCTAGTAGGTCGTGCAACAATCCTGAACCTAAGTTTGGTGGAGCTGATTGCCAAGGATCAACAATTCAAGTATAATAAATTATTTATATGATTAAATAAATTGATAAAATATTGATACAATAGTTTTAATCTTTAAGTAAAAAAAATTATCTAATTAAAGTTAATCAGAAATCGAATTTTATAATCATGACTGAAGTAGTGATTTTACTCGTAAGATACAATACATTAACAATTGCATTTTATATCAATCGATCTATAAAAAAAAGAATAATCGAAGAAAATTATTTTTTATTTGCGTGTAAAATTTTTAGTTAATACTCATTACTGCGAATAAAATATAAAAACAAGTTTTACCTTTGAACATAACTAACATTATTTACTTTTAATAATCGTACCAAGTAATCAAAGACATATTGTTCAACACGCACATATAAACCATGTGCACTTCATAGTAAATAAAAATAGGAGGTTATGGTTTTTTTGTTTACTATAATATAAAAATGTACTATTTAATTACTACCTCTTAATGAGTTGTGTGTTAGAATATTTAATAAAAGTAAAGTAACTTTTACATATATTTTAGATTTTTAAAAAAAAACATGAACTACAATTAAGTTGTCATGATAAAATGAAACATTGGTGTGGATATGTGTTACAGAATCCTTTTTTCATTTACATGTTATAAATATTTAATAATTTTTTATGTTTCAGGTAACAAATTGTACTGTTCATGGACAATGGTCTAGTTGGTCAGATTGGTCAGCGTGCACGCAAAGCTGTGGATCCGCTGTGAAAGTAAGAAAAAGGACATGTGGTAACCCTGCGCCAGCGTTTGGCGGCCGTGTTTGTGTGGGACGTGATACGGAGGAAATATTTTGCCATTCAAATCCACCTTGTCCAGGTATGTACATTTTAAACCTACGTGAATAATTTGAAAATTAAATTATTAATTAAAATTTTCAAATATGATTTAATCAAAAATTGTAGTATAATTTAAAATTAAAAATATATTTGAAATATGGAACTTGAACTAAAAAATATATTATTGAAAAGCGCATTTTAGGACACAATGTACCACATGACTATGTTAACTATGTCCATTATTACCAATAAAATTAACAATTATTGTTAATTTTATTGAATTACAAAAAAAGATAAATGAAAAGCATTTTTAATAATACATTCATTTATTCTACAGTTTTGCCACCAATTATAAAAGAACCTAGTTGGAGTTCTTGGGGACCTTGGAGTAAATGTTCGGCAAAATGTGGAGGTGGTTTTCGACAAAGATCTAGATATTGTAACAACCCATCTCCTCGAGAAGGACAAGATTGTAGTGGGTGCTCTGAAGAATATGAACTTTGCAATCAAAAACCATGTGTCGAAAGTAAAAAGGTATCATCTTGGACTCCATGGATATCTACAGGAAATAGCACCCATAAGAGATTTAGGTTTTCATGTCGAACTCAACAAGACCAGACCTCAATTAGTATTATCCAAGATAAAGAAGAAAGCAAACTTTGTCAAGATGGAGCATGTCATCGATTAGGTTTGTCAAATTATTTCATAGATTTGTATTTTTAACTTTGATTTATTCAATGTATCAATTTGTTATTAGTTGTATACATATTCATAATTTTTTTATAAATGTATATACTTCAGATCAAGTATCAGATTTAGAAGAGTCCTNTTTTTTATAAATGTATATACTTCAGATCAAGTATCAGATTTAGAAGAGTCCTGGTCTGAGTGGTCAAACTGGAGCTCTTGTTCATCTGAATGTGGAGGTGGTAATCAAATAAAAACTAGAACATGTGAAGGTTCATCTGAAAACTGTGAAGGACCCACTAAGTTAACTAGACCGTGTAATACACAAAAATGCAAAGGTAATTTGATAAAAATACTTAATTTAACCTCTTTAAGTTTTCTATAATATAATGCTATTTTTAGGTGAGTGGAGTTGTTGGACTGATTATGGTGAATGCTCAGTT